CTCTATAAATACCCACAAAAGGGTCACCTCACCCTGGGCACAGAGAGAACCGCTCCTGTCTGTGCTCCCGCCCTCTGAAGATGCCGGCCACCCGCGCCCGCGAAAAGTTAGGAAACAAAACTTCCAGAACACGGCCACACAGCCCGGAAGACCCACACCAGCCAACACAATCCTTGCTTAAGGAGTGCCCAGACACCCCTTTCTGAGCCCCTCTGGCGCACTCCGTCTTCCTGGGATGGCTCCTGCCGGCCAAGGAGAAGCAGATCCTTCCCCTTGCTTCCCCTGCCGTGGCACGCGCCCCATCCCCGGGGCTCGCTCTGGTCCGTTCCTCTGCCCAGAAGGATCAGAGCCAAGTGAGCGGTGGGAGATGACGGCCTGGTGGATGCGGGAGCAGAGCGGGAGGGTGGCTTGCACCAGAGCCCAGCCGGCCCTGCCCCGGATCTTGCCACCGTGACGCGGGAGCGATTGCTCGTTCCCTTAGAAAAGGTTTAATTAGCTGCCGGGCTCCAATTTGCACTAAGAGGTGCAAAACAATGCAGTACACAACATCCTCGATTACGCTGGGTGGGAGAAGGAGGTCTGACCCTTCCAGGAGCCCACCAGAAACCGGCCCAGGGCCCTGATCTCACCTCCTCCGGAAGAGAGTCCACTCTGGTCCCTCCAAGCTAAGGGGGAATGACCTGCCCAGAATGGGCCTCAAAGGTTGGGGCACCCACCTCTCCTCAGGCTCTCTGGGGATGTGCCCTCACCTTACTGGGGAGCTCAGGCAGCACGTGCACAGTGGGATGCCTGCGGGAGGCTTAATTGGTTGCTGCCAGGGCAGGACTGCTAGATGCTTGGGAAAGGGGGCTCCAGAAACACACATTGACCTTGAAGGCCTGGGCTGCCCTGGACCCATGCTCTTTGGCAGGACTTGCCCCAGGATCAGCCTCATCTGGGCGTGCTGGGGACTTGCCCCCACCCTGTCTGCCTGGCACTGCCATTTTATCTGACCCCTTGAGCAGTCTGGGATGGGGAGAGACCCGCTGTGGCCTAGAGCGGGGCCCCATCAGCTGTAGACAGCCAGGACTTAGCGGCAGGCCAGCCTTCATGTCCACAAAGAGGTTTCATTTCCCTGTTGATTTCATCTGTACATCATCCTGAGAACATCAGCTGTTGGCGGCTAACCGACTTCAAATTTAAAAAGCAACGTTTTAAATCAGATGGGTTTAACCTAAGGCACAGAGACCCCGCAAAAACCTCCACGAAAGTGCAGCTTCCACCAGAGTATTAGCATACTGGTTTTGTTGCGCAGTGTTTCTGGGCATGTCAGTGCAAATGGAGCATCTCCCATAACTTTAAAGCAGCCGCCTCTTTTCTCAGAATTACAAGCAATCCCAGGAAAAGATGGAGCTGCTTTAAAGAACCACAGACGGGTGTGACTTGCATGCTCCCGTTGGCTCCAAAGTACCTCTTTGGAGTCAAATGAAAAGTGCTGCACACTCTATTAACCGTTCATACGTTTAAAGGATAAATATGAAATGTAGCTTTTGTCCTGCCTCCATCCACTTTTCACCTGGAGGAGAGTTGCACTGAACAGGCCAGCAAAGGCAGCCAGAGGGGGTCCTTCTGCCCCCCCCCAAGCTGGTGGAATGGGCATTGCCTAATCTTCCCTGCTCCCACGAGACAAGCGGGACATTTGCAACCCTTGCTCTACACGTGGAGTGCAGCAGGGGAAAGATCTGCCTTTGCCACCCCGCAGGAGTTAGAGAGTCCTCTGAGCAGCTCTGCCACCCTTCTCCCACAGGAAACAGCAGGCCCAGCGGGATGCGGAAGAGCATCGGTGGGAAGAGGCCCGTCGGGTAAGTGCCCTGCAGAAGGGCTGCTGGAGCTGTGCCCGCTCACCCACCCCCAAGTCTAAGGACAAGCAAGGCAGGGCAGGGCAGGAGGCCCTTGGTTCACCATCGGATGGGAAAAGGTGTGGCTCCCCCCACCCCAAGAAGCCCAGGTGGCTTTAGGAGCTCCATCTGTTGGGGTTAGGAAGGCTTGGCAGGCTGAAATCCAGCAAGCGACTCTCCTCAACATGAGGCAGGTGCTTTATCTGTTGAATTGATGCCTGCCATACAGCACCTCTAGAGACAGGAATCCCAGCTCCCAGCCCCAACAGTCACTTTCCCTTTTTGTTGGCAGAAGGAGCAAGCAAAGGCGATCTCTGGGATGAGTCTTCAGAGACAGCCTAGCGAGAAAGCCAGGGTGAGTGAGACAGGGACAAGGGGGCTGCTCGGGGTGCTGGGGTGGGCTCCAGGCAGTGGGCCATGAGCAGGCTTGGTGCAATGGGGCCTGCTGGCCAGGCAGGACGTGGGTGGCCCAGGAGCCCCCAGCCCGAGCTGCCGCTTGCTGGAGAGCTGCTGGGGAAGACTGCGCCCCCTTCCCTGGAGCTGCTTCAGCACAGCCCCGAGCTTTTTGCTGCTCTCCCCAAACCCACCCAAAGCCCCTCACTCTCCCTTGGCTCAGCTTGGAGGAAGCTTTGCTGAAACCAGAGGCCGCCACCTGGCTGGCATCTGGAGGGGCCCGCTTGCAGAGGGGCACAGATCAGAGCAGGACAAAGCAACGGGGAAGCGCTCCGGGCCCTGCGCATCTCTGCCATCAGCCGGCTGGCTTTTCTTGTTCTCATAGCAGGAGGTGGCTATGCCAGGTTTGCAGCAGCCGCACCCCCCACGGGGCTTCTTCCAGAAGAGAGACCGGCTAGGCTCTGCCTCCAGAGACCCAGGGCCAGGTGAGCTTCCCAGGCTGGCCCTGCCGGGCACCGAAGAAGCGCTGGGCTGCTTGGAGAGCTCGCTGGATCCAGGATGGGGGGCAGCTACTAAGGGGGGAACGGAAAGGAGGACTCCTCCTCCCTGGCATCTCCCCCCTGCCAACAGTCCTTGGGCATCTGAGCAGTTTGGGGCTGAGTCACTTCTGAACTAAAGAGATATGACCAAGTTTGGCTTGGACGTTGTGTGTGCGACCGCTTCTCTTCCCTGGCCTCAGATACCCCAATTTCCCAGGGAGATTTTTAGGGACAGCGACCACAGCTGGCTCTTGTGACACAACTTCTCTCTGTTCTCCCCCTACCCCAATGCCTGGATCAGGAATGCCACGGCGCCCTTTTCTCCGCTACCAACGCAGCCTCACGGAATCCGCTTACATCTTCCGCCGCCCAGATCCAGATCTCTCTGGCAGCTTCCAGGCCTCGGTCCCCCACCTGGCCCCACCCATTGGCCTCAAGCCCAGCACCCCCACCCCTGTCCCCGAGAGGCGGCTTCCTGGCACTGGCAGCCTGCCTGAGCCCGCTTTGCCACCCACCAGCAGCCCGCCTGTTCCTGCTCCCTGTGAAACAGAGGCAGCGCCACCGTGCAGCACTCCCTGCCTGGCACCCCCAGCCCTCACCCGTGCTTTGAATGGTGCTGAAGCTGAGTCTGCCTCCCCACCTCAGTCTCCCCAGCTGGCCCCCTCCCCTGAGAATGAATCTGAGTCCCCTTGGGGGCAGGGAAGCCGATGTTCAGTGGTCCTGGGGCCCTGCTGTCCCCTTGCAGCCCCCTACGAGGAAGCTCTGCCCCTCAGCCATGCTCCAGAAGGGCAAGTGTCCCCCAGCCCGGCCCCAGGCGCTTCTGGAGGGGCAATGGACTGGGAGGAGCTGCCCAGCCCCAGAGCGAACTCTCCCCCAAGTACTCGTCCAGGGGAGACAGTCCCTGCGAAAGGTAAGCCCTCTCCCCGGTGTCCTGCTGAAGGGGCAGGAGGTGGGAACCTGAAGGCCAGTGGCCAAGGCTGCACCACGTGCGCAAGCAGGCTAGAAGAGCGGGTGGCTGCATTTGCATACGGGTTAGGATTTAGGTAGTGCAAGATGGTACAACAGCCAAAATTGGGAGGGGGTAGACCCTGCTTGGGCTTTGCGACCCTTAGCCCCCTCCCCCGGCGTCTGCTGCAGTTGGCGATCCTGCCTCCTGGACAGTGGGGGGGGGCCCACAAGCTGACAGTCCCAAGTTCAGTCTGTTAGACGCAACAGCTGCCCTGGAGAAGCCTCCGTTTCTCTTGCTTTTTTACGAATGGCCTGGCTTGGCCTGTGGCTAATAAAATATCCCTGCTTGGTTCAGGAACTGGGGGGCAGGTGTGGAGGACGCCCATAAGGTCAGACTTCTGCCCCACCTTTCCTTTGCTAGGTGGTTCAATGGGAGTTGCTCCGGGCCAAGCTGGGTCCATCCTGCCTTCCGTGCGCAACGGGACAGAAGAAGAGAGATGGCGCAGAGGCCAGGTGGCTTATTTACGTTCTGTATTTCTAATCTGCTCTTCCTCACAGCGGTTTACGTGAGAATCCCCGTTCCTTTTATTCCAGCCACAGACCTGCAAGGTAGGCTCGGATGAGAGAATGTGGCAGGTCCAGAATCACCCGGGGAGCTGTGGCTGAGGCAGCCTCCGGCTCTGGGATGTGGCGGGGCGAGTGGGTGTCCTTCCCACGACAGCGTGGCACGTCCTCACCAACAACCCTCCTGTTCTCCCAGTCAGCTCACAATTGGTGGCACACCAGCTCCAATTCTCCACCTTCCGTCGGATTTCCCTTCCTGCCGGTCAGCTAATGGCGGCTTTCTTTCCCGCAGGGGGCCCGGCCCAGCCCGACAGCCAGGCTCCCTGATGGAAGGCTGGCCTGACTGCCCAGCTGCTGCCCGCTCAGCCAAAGAGATTCCCGCTTGGAGAAGGCACTCTGTGCATCTCGTGCCAGAGGGCGGCTCCCACCTGCGCCAGGCTGCCTGCGGTCAGACCCTCGCCCAGTCCAGATGGCTCAATGTATGTTCCCCAGAGCTAAACCCGGGACAGTCTATGACAACTGCTGTGGTCACATAAACACGCAACATCCAAGCAAATAAACCACCTTTTGGCTTAACGGAAGACTCCGGTTTACAGACGGTCTTGTCCCGTCCCAGGCACCGCAGATCCCTGCAGGGGCAGGACAGTCACGGCTGCGCCCTTCTCTGAGAGGGTGTGCTGTAACCTCACACACGCGTGCGCGCACACACACCCGATCCTGGAGCAGGCCCTGCAGAACTCTAGGTGAGACACCAAAGCCTTCCCCCATGCCAGGGGTCTCCCACCAGCCTCCTCCCACAGACCCAGCTTGTACCACAGGGGGCAATTCAATACAATTTAATGTGTATTCACAGGAAAGGAGGCCGCTGCCCTTGACACAGACTGGGGTGTGTGTGTGTGTGTAGAAAAGGGCCACACAGCAGCCTGGGGCACCCCCACCACACTTCCTCCTCGATGCAAATCCCTGCAGCTCAACAGGGGGTCAGGAAAAGGCAGGCTGAAGGGAGATGGGGTGCTCTGCCCCTGGGCTTCTCCCATTTCAACAGCAAATATTCCAGTTTCTTGCAAGGAGAGGAAGGGAAGGCGTTTTTCTCCTGAAAATGGAGGGGGTCTGGCCAGGGGCCCTTGCCCCCAACTCCCTGGCAGGCTGCTTCTCCAGTGGGGGAGCGCTGGGGGGTGTGGCCAGGCCAGTCTGGGCCCGGCTGCTCGGTCTCCGCAGTGGGAAGGTCTGTCCAGTGCTGGTGCCCCACCTCTGGGTCAGCCCTGCGGCAGCTTCAGCCCTGAGATTGCAGCCACAGGCGAGGGTCAAAGCAGGGCCGGGCGGGGGTCCGCAGGGTCAGCTCCGAGTCTGGAGTTGAGCTGCAGCTGCTGGAGGACCCCGAGCTGGAGCGGGAAGGGCCGCGGGCCTTGGGCGAAGGGGAGAGCGGTGGGCACCCTGCACGCCCCTTCAGCCGGCCGAGCTTGGCATCCAGCGAGAAGGTGCGAGGCCGGCCCCAGGGAGGCTGTGGGGGGCACGGGCCAGTGCTGGAGCCGCCACGGTTGCAGCTGGAAGCGATGCCAGGGGAGGAGCCCTCAAAGAGAGAGAGCCACACTGGGTCACCCAGGTCGGAGACCCTCCGGGCCAGGATCTCGGTCACTGCCTCGATGTCATCCGCGGGCTCAATAGCTGCAGGGAAGGAGGGGGTCCGTTAGAGGTGTCCTGGTCAGATCTCTTCCTGTCCCTTCACAGCCCTGCAGGGGTACGCCCCCCAGGGAGGGGTGCCATCCAGCACAGAAGCAGTGGGGAAAGTAAGTGGCCTGCCGCTCGGATGGGCCCAGGGGGCAGTCTTCCAGCCACCCCCCCGCCCTGCCCAAGGTTCTCCCAGCATGGCAGCCCTCTCCCCTGCGGCTGGGGGCTGCTCAGCCCAGCCCTGCTGGGCCCCCTGCTCTGGGCGCAGTTACTTCACCTGTCACTGTAATAGGTGGACAGAAGCGCCCGAATCTCTGCAGAGACAGCGTTGTCCTGCAACAGAAGCCCCTCGCAGTTGGAGGGTGGCCCCCCAGCGCCAGGGAGAGCTGGGGGAAGGACAGGACAGACAGGGGAGGCCAAAGAGGGACATGCAGAGAGAGGAGAGCAGGAGGAGAGCAGAGAGTTACAGACACAGACACTGGACGGGGGGCAAGCGAGGCCCCTGGAGACATGTAGCTAGAAGAAGGGGGCAGAAAAGACAGAGGCCCTCCCCTCCAGCTATGGGGGCACGAGCGCCTTGGAGGCTCGCAGGCACTCAGAGTCCGTTGCCTCCGCCACAGGGCTGCCTGGCTGCCCGTCTTACCCATCTCGTGGTACAGGGACCCCTGCTTGGGCAGCAGTGTGGGAGGGCGACGTGGGGATGGCACCTCCACTTTCATAACCTCATCGCAGCAGTGCTTCCACTGGCCTGGGGAGGAGCACAGAGTGGTGGAGATCAGGGTGCTGGGTAGGCGCCACCCCCCCAGGGTCATCCTTGCTCGGGCAGGTCCAGCGGTGTCAGGAAAGAAAGGAATGGGGGCCTGGAAGTGCCCCAGTGCTCTTGGCTGCAGCAGGGAGCTGCCCCAGATCCAGATCCAGCCCAGAGGCCGAAGGCTGTGCCCCGATGCCCACCGCACGCCTGGCCTCCTGGCACCTTCCACCTGGCTGCTCCCCAACGGAGGAGGGCAGGGTGAGTCCAGGGAGAGTGCACGAAGGGGCCCCAAAGACCCACTGCCGCATCTCGCCCACTCACTCATGTCGTAGAAGTGCTGCCAGAAGGCCTCCATCCAGCGCCGGGCCTCAGCGCGAGACTCGGCCTGCAGCGCGTGGGTCACTTCCTCGCCTCCGTAGCGGTTGGTGACCGACATGCAATGGACGGGGCCCTCGGGGCTCTTCTCGGTGGCCCGTATGCGCGTCTCCTGCGTGGGGAAAGAGGGTTGGAGGTTGCCGTGACTGTGGGGCCCGCTCCAGCCACCGCCCCTTAACCTTGTGCTCTAGGCTGAGAAACGGGCGTGGTGGTGGTGGCCCAAATGGGCCCCTCGCCCCAAGCAATGGAAAATGGCGCCCTCCATGCTACACAGGAAGCGAGTAACGAAGGGAAGCTTGGAAACGGGGAAGACTTCGACAACCAATCTCTGAAGGGAGGTGTTGAGGTGTGCATGGAAAATTGGGTGTAAAAGAAAACGGGACCCTAAGAGCGAGAATAATTTTAATTATCTGAAACCAGGGCAAAGGAGGGGTCGCAGCTGTGCAGCAGAGGCTCCGTGGGAGTAGATGTGGGCAGTCAGCCTCCACACCTCCCGCGTCCTCCAGGAAGGGCATGGCCTTGGTGAACGCCTCGCGGGCAACGGAAGCAAAGAACCCAGCTTTTCCCCGGACGCACCTTGTTGACAGCGATGGTGAAGGCTGCTTCTTGCTGGGCCTCGGCATCCTGGGGGTGCCGGTAGCAGAGGAGGTTGGTGCCGCGCAGGAGGCAGAAGAGCCTCGGCCAGTCTGGCTGCTCCCCCTGCTGCACAGACAGGTGGGGTTCGGCCGGGCTGGCAAGCGCTCTTGGCCCTTTCTCCTTCCCTGCCCAGAGGGGCCCTGCAGCCTCCCTGCAGGCCACACCAATAACCCAGCTGCAGAAGGCGCCCTGTGCCAGCCCCTCTTGGTCAGCTCAGGTGTAGGGTGGGGGACTGCCTGTCCCCGGCCACGTGGGGGGGGCGAAGGGGAGGTGGCCGAGCAGCCGCTGGCCCAAAAGCCAGGCCTGCCTCCCTCCCTCCGCAGGTCAAGCCCTTACCTGCACCTTGAGGAAGCCAGCCATCACCTGGTCCACCATGCAGCTGGGCTGGGCCAGCAGGCGACAGCAGAGGCTGCCGTACAGGGGGAGCCAGAAGGAGCTCTCCTCTGGGAGAGAAGGGGGTGTCAGGTGGGGCCGATGTTGGGGTTCAGTAAAATGTCTCTGGGCACTGGCTCAAGCACTCCAAGGCCTCGTGAGCCTCCCGAAGACCCCAAGCCGCCCTGAGAGGGCCCTGACCCTGGGTGGGCACCTCCCCTCATCTCCTGCTATGCCTACCGTTGCTAGTGACAAGGAGGTCATGGGTGCGAAAGGCGTCCTGGACGTGCACCAGGCCAAGGTGGGCACAGGCCAGCAGCTGATATTTGGGCCCTCTGGAAGAGAAGGGACGCCTGCTGGTGAGGCAGCTGGGGGGGGGCGCAGGGCCCCCCAAGCAAGGGGGGGGGGGGGAGGGAACCACGGCACACTGGGGGGCGGGGGCAGAAGCAGTGGACTGCATCCCCCGTTTTTCCCCGAGCTGCTGCCATCGAGGGCGGCCCGCATCTGCTTCCCGGATGAGCGCCCCAGTGAGCTGCTTAGGCGGCTGGCCAGCTTCTTGGGGGTGGTGCCCAGGGCTGAGTCCTCCTCCAGGGCTGCGCTGT